TAAATTTTTATTTAATTTTTAATATAATTTTAAATTAATAATGAAAATTCCTAAATTAATTTACTCAATAAGTAATATACAGTACTGTACCGTATCTTATACTACAGTATATTAATCTATCAAATAATTCATGTCTCGGGCCTTGTCTATAGTAACCGGTCGGCGCCGACTGTCCATCAGGTACTCCATAAGTCTTATGAAAATTATGTCATTCAAAGATTCGCATTGATTTGTGTTGATAACCATTTCCATATACAACCCCATAGTTACTGAAACAATACAATCAAATGGTTACTCATTAATAAAAATTAATCATATTATCGGTATAAGTGTACTAACCGGGGGGCTGGACATACGATGTTAAATGATCCAGTCCATAATAGTTTATACTGCTCCAGAAATCATCGCATATCTCGGGTGTGGTTTTGATGAACAGCACCGGTAGTGATGGGTCGGTGCAGTACAACAGCTCTTTTATTGAAGTAAATGGTAAAGTGAATGACATGTGTCTAGTATTTGGGGAAAATGGTGAGTAAACGGTTGTTAAACGGATGCCATTTCCATACAACTGTACGGAAAACGAGTGGCGGATCAGTTGGTTGTCCATCACTAAGTATTTCATAGACACAACCGATATATAAGAATTAGGTAATGGTATGGGATATACAGGTATCGGTAATTCATGTGAATGCATATCAGGTAATTGGTGGGAAAGGGTCCTCACAATCACATCGTTCCGTTCGCTCTGTTTAACCAATTCTTTGCACTTATTTTCCGATTCTTTCAATTGTTTCTTAAGTGCAGTGCACTCGGCCTCCAACTCACACTTAGGGGAACGGCTTTCGTCCGCTTCTGTCACCAAATTCGTGTCCATTTCCGAGTTCTGTAACTTTTGCTTCAATTCATTGTTTTCTGCTTTCAATACATCCACACAATTGTGGTCTTCATTGGTGTGAAAGTCACAGATTTGGCATATCTTATGCGAACATGTGTTGAGATGTGTCTCCAACTGTTCCAATGGTATCACTTCCGGACATCCATTGCCCACAAACTTGCATTTTATCATCAATTTGGCGATAATATTGTCGGCCACGAGATTCTTGTAACAAAGATACCCATCAATGTTGACCACATTATTACGGACTCGTCTGTCAGTCGCTACCAATGGTTTGTAAAAATTTCTGATCAACTGGTATTGACATTTGGGACAAGAATTCTGATCTTTGATAAGAAATTCTGTGAAACAACTGTGACAATAGGTATGACCGCATGGAGTGGTGACAGCCCTTTCCAAAATCTGCAGACATATCCCACATTTGAACTCATCGATGGCTAAACCATTTTCTTGAAGTACTTTTATGTTAACAAAATCATTGCAATCGTAACCAACCATTGCTTGTCTTTGATTATATCCTAGCAATAAATAAAGTATTCCGATAAGGTTACAACTTTTTATGCATTCATTTCAACAAGTTTTAGTGAATTCATTAATTATTTCAATTTATTTCTACTGAATTATAAAATCCTCTGTATTAATAAACACACATACTGTATTGTTCATAAAAATACCAATTAATGTTATTTATCAATTATCAATAACTACTATTTAAACAGTATTCACACTCAAACGTAGTCATTTGTGATTGATACTCACTTACATTAGTTAATAAGTTATTATTAGTGAATTAATCAATCTACCGAGTTTATTTATTCAGATTTATGTTATATTATTTGATTACTTTCAAGTACTAGATTGTAACCATAGCATCCTTCGACTTTATCACAAATAAATATGGATTAAACATACAGTTTAAACGTTAAACGTCTTATAAGTTATGTGTCAAAAAATGACCACATTCTTGGAATCAACTATTGTTTAGGTAATTACATGTCTTTAAAATGTAAATTGTCTCCATATCTGACCAGTTTATTAAAAGTTAAAAAATTTACTATACTCTAATATTAACAAATATAAATGAATTATAATAAGTTATTATTAATAACAAATGTAATTAAAATAGATTAGTCCACATAAATTATATTCACAATTCAAAAAAATTATATAAGTTTCCAAAAAACTAATAAATAAAATCATTAATTTCTTATACAACCCTTAATTAAATTAATAAAACTATAAACATTACAGACAATGAAAAACATGTTACTCTATATCATGCATTAACAAAACTTTTAAAATCTTAAAAATAGCCATGTATTAAATCTAAAATTTTATTAAAAGTACACAACACTAGTAATATAAACTTTTAATACTAAAATTAGTGACTTTGAAATTACAAGTTATCATTTTATTAATCACAAAATACACATTTAACTATTAATGTGTTAAAATTTATTTATATTAAAAACTAATAATTTCTAATATACCATCTACAACACACCCTGATCCATCTACAACACACCCTGATCCATCTACAACACACCCTGATTCACCTACAACACACCCTGATCCATCTACAACACACCCTGATCCATCTACAACACACCCTGATCCATCTACAACACACCCTGATTCACCTACAACACACCCTGATCCATCTACAACACACCCTGATTCACCTACAACACACCCTGATCCATCTACAATAGTTTATCCAACAAAAATGATGCCTGATAAATTTTTAATAAATTATAATAAATTTATTCTGGGAACATTGATACCATTCATAGTTTTTATGCTTATATTAATAATGTGTTATTTAATTAAATGTTATGAAAAAGTGAAGTTATATAACAAAAATTTAAAGTTAAATAATTCAATAGTAACAAAATATTCTACTATTAACAAAAACGGTGTGGATGGTTTAAAATTATGTCCATGCGACAAATTTGTGCAACTTTATAGCAAAGTAGATTTAATTGGTTCAGGATCATTTGGGGATGTTTATAAAGTTTATGATCGATATACCAATAAAATATCAGCTGTTAAAATGTTAAAACTAAGTAGGTATTTTAATTCATTTAATTTTGTTGTCATTAATTAAACCTTACTAACATATTACAATTTGTTATATATTATAGATTATACATCTTTGCGAGAATTAAAAATAATGTTGCATGTTCAAGGTCAATATATTGTAGAATACTATTCATTTTGGATTCAAAATAAGAGATTATTTATTGAAATGGAGTATTGTGAATACACTATCAAGGACATTTTACAAGTTCGCCATGCTGCATTTAACAGAAAAATATGTGATAATATAAAAATAACCGAATATTTCATATTTTCTAATATGTTTCATGAGATTATTGAATGCGTTAATTATTTGCACACAATGACTGACCCCGTGATACACCGAGATTTGAAACCGGCTAATATACTTATATCTTATAAAAATAAGCACCATGGTAATTTTATTAAACTGTGTGATTTTAGTTTATCTACTTTCGATCAAGATACTCATACCATAGGTGTGGGTACACCTGCATATATGCCACCAGAGATATATGATGCTAATTATTCAAACAAGATCGATTTATATAGTTTAAGTGTGATTGGCAAAGAGTTATTTGAGATAGATTTTCAAAGGTAATTAACCATGATAAACCGATTTTAATCTTATTATTTTAATATTTTAAATTTATTCAGTCCAGAAACATATAAATGTGACCTGGATTGTTTTAGGAAAATATACGATATTATATTAGATATGTCTCAGTACGTTCATGGTAATCGTCCGGATTGTAAACACATATTATTCACTGATTATGAATGGACTCTTGATATTAGCAGGTTAATTATTCATGAAAACTATGTAGAGTGTAAACAAAATTTAATCGAATTTAGTAATCAATTTTTTAGCATTTACCTTGATAGCAAAATAAATTCTCATAGTCAATGTTACAGTGGTATTCATAAACAAATTGGATTTTAATCTGAGCTGGACCTTACATTGCATGTTAGCCCACTTATCTAATCCCATTTCACAAAACCATCTTAACTCTTTATTTTAAAATTATCTTAAATTCAGTCCGATGTGGGCCCATACACTTTCATAGGGGAAGCCTACTTACAGGGATAAGTTTGATCGGTGTGAGACTTAAATTTTTAAGATTTGAGACGTTGTTTTAAGGTGCAGCTCAGATTAAATGCGTTTCATAAACCAAGTGAGCAATTACTTAAAATGTGAGACAGCTAAGACTTAAGTCGACACTATGAATACCACTGTAACATTGACTATGAGAATTTATTTTGCTATCAAGGTAAATGCTAAAAAATTGATTACTAAATTCGATTAAATTTTGTTTACACTCTACATAGTTTTCATGAATAATTAACCTATGAATTTAAGATAATTTTAAAATAAAGAGTTAAGATGGTTTTGTGAAATGGGATTAGATAAGTGGGCTAACATGCAATGTAAGGTCCAGCTCAGATTAAAATCCAATTTGTTTATGAATACCACTGTTAGAAATTAAAAATTGTATAAAAATTATTTACATGATTAATGTGTAAAATAAAATTGAGATATAATTGAAATGTTAGCAAAACAAATAGTAATTTTATTCAACGATTTCATTTATGATATGAGTATATTAATACAATAATCCTGTATTATCTCAATAGCTATTCATAAATACCTGTAACAAACTCAAGATTATATAATAAAAGTTAAATTAAGTTTATCAAATAATTTTAATACAGTATTATCATTTATAATTTATAAATATAATTACAACTAAAACTACAAACAGAATAATATTAATGACAACTTTTATCACAATTTATAAGATGTCTAATTTGAACACAAAACCTTTAACAAATCTCATAACAAAACTTTTAACTAATTTAATTGTTCAATTGTAATGAAAAGCTTTATACGGTAATAAACATTTAAACAAATTAACCCCAACTTTAAATTATTTATTTAATTTTTAAAATAATTTTAAATTAATAATGAAAATTCCTAAATTAATACCGGTATACTGAATACGTAATATACTGTACGGTATCTTATACTATATTAATCTATCAAATAATGCATGTCTCGGGCCTCGTCTATAGTAATCGGTCGGCACCGACTGTTCATCAGGTACTCCATAAGTCTTATACCAAAAACATACAAATGAAAATTGACAACAAAAACATACTGTATAATGTAATGATACATAATTCACCAAATATATTAATTATGAGAGTACAGTTAAGACCAGTAGTGGTCGGTTATGGTAGTAGTGGTCAGTCATGGTCAGCAGTGATCAGTTATGGTCAGTAGTAGTCATAATTACATAAATATATGTTTTTGTCGACAATTTTCATTTTTATATTTTGGGTATACCAGGCAGTGTAAAAAATCTCTAGTACGAAAACAGTTATAAAATGTCTTGCATTCAAACTTAAGTTATTGAAGTAGCCCTGGTATACACAAAATATAAAAATGAAAATTGACAACAAAAACATATTTATGTAATAATGACCACTACTGACTATTACTGATCACTACTACAATTACTGACCACTACTGGTCTTAACTGTACTTTCATAATTAATATATTTGGTGAATTATGTATCATTACATTATACAGTATGTTTTTGTGGTCAATTTTCGTTTGTATGTTTTTGGTATATCAGTGCTACTCCAATAACTTAAGTTTGAATGCAAGGCATTTTACAACGGTTTTCATCTTGCACATTTTTTACACTGATTGATTGTAAGTAAGGCCTAAAGTTTAAAGATTATTTCAATGATCATTTTAACACTTAATCCTATTTACATTTGTTGCTTATAAACAGTTTCATCAAATGATTAAAATAGTTTGTCAATGTACAGTGCAGTAGTAATATTAAATGCTTAAATTGATGAATAATTTGCATATTTTGTAAATAAGAAATATGTTTTACTTTACAATTTAAAATAAATTCATGAATTTACATTATTTTCATTGTCAATAATTAAGTTTAAATCATTATTTGAATAAATAAAATGTGCATAAAAATTCAGAATTTCTTTATTAGTTAATATAATACAAAAATTTCCAAAAATACAATTACATATGAAGTTCAAAAATGACAAAATATTATATAATTTTAATAACCATTAATAAATCCTTTATAAAACCACATTTGAGTTCATCAATGGCCAGACCTTTCTCTTTCAGGGTTATGAAACTATTGCTATCGTAACCAACCATTGTCTGCATTAGATTATCATTTAATTAACATTTAACTTAATTCAAAATAAATCAAATAAAATAGTGATGCAAATACTGTATAACTTTATTTATTATTGACGCAAACATTTATACAAAGTGTTTTGTAGCACTTAGATTCATTTATAATTCTAAATCCACATTTAAATAGTGTTAAATGTTTGTTTATGTATTCAAATTAAAAACTCACAATTACAGACTCACGAGTCAGTTCAAAATGTAAGTTTAGTAAATTTATACAATTATCATTACAAATAAAAATATAAATGAACACATTAGTAATTGCAAGTGTATGATATTAATACTGAATCGTAATTATTCTTGAAAGTCAGTTATTTGTATAATAATTGTTAAAATAGCACATTTATATTATTCAGTACTAATCCTTTTTAAGAATCAAATGTTAATCTTAAGTAATCAGTTATGAAATTGAAATACGATGTGCAACTTGGGGGGAGGGTCAATTTTTGACCAATTTTTTTGCGTACCTACTTCGTGAACGCCGCCTTATTTAATTTCAAAAATTTTGTTTTACAGTATGTAAACTATTTCTGTAATACCGTACTATAATATTATAAGTATTAATTTACTAACTTGTAAGCACAGAATATAATTATGATAATTCAATTAAATATTTATAGACAATAAATTATTGGCTGTAAATCATATTTTATTTTAACAGATATTAATCCAGATACATAAATATTATCGTAACTTTAACCCTCTAGCATTATTTATTGTTTAATAAATTATATTTGTTTGAGTTAATAAAGCAAACTTAACCAATATCATGTGTGAAATAAAGTACTCATGCAACATTTCGCAATTATGATTTACAATATTGAGTACATTACAGTTATAACTTATAACTTATAACTTTTATACAAATTATAAATTATATTGTAAAAACATTATCTGCCATTGATAACTTAATGCTAATTGACATTAATACCAATAAATTAATATAGAAAGTCAAAGTTTTCCACATATATAAATAATCCAATTTTCTACACCAAATTATAAATTTTATATATCAATATTTCCTTAAATACAATATTTTGAACATAATGAATTATATGTTTTTAAGCATAATTTTTGCATTTATCATTCAAAATACGACACTATTACCAGATTTTGTTTGTTCACTCGAGGACATCGAGAACACCCATTGTATCGGGCCTAAGGACTGTCTGTATCCACACCCAAAGGAATGCAATAAATTCATTCGCTGTGAGGTAAGCACCGATGGAGTGACTGGTGAGCCTACTGTGAAAGACTGTCCGGCGGGGTTAGAGTGGAACGATAACAAAAAGGAGTGCGATTGGCCCATACATTCTACCTGTCCCAGGGAGCCATCAACAAAACCTCCAACACAATCCCCGACTCAAAAACCCCAACCGACACCACAACCACCTGAATCTGCACATCAATGTCTACTGAGAATTAATATGGAAGTAGCCGAGTGTTCCCAAAATGTTGAGATACCTGATCATTCTGCTCAACAATTTGATTGCTGTAAAATATGGATCCAATACGAATGTTCTATACAATTGTCCCAGGTCAGTGGTTTATATTTTTAAAAGAATATTCAGTTAGTAGTTATAACTGATATTTTGATTTATATGTTAGTATGCTTGTATTGTAATGTAATGCAATATATAAAAACCTAATTATTATGCCATAATTTAATTTACTGTAACATTATTTAAATTGACTAACCTGTGCTTTTATCTATAAGTTCATACGATATCTGTATTCAGGTTGAACCTCAACTTGATAAAGTTTTATACAAAAATGATAAATTACAATATCTGAGAAAGAATACAAATTAAGTCCTAGAAAAATACTTAAATTTTATTATTCAATATTGTTTACATGTTAAGCTTAAAAGCAGTATTTAAATATAAATTATAGGATTTGTTGCTAGCTTCAATTTGTTATCCTTTATCAGATATTTAATTCCAAATTATTTTATTATATATTTTAGAGGTGGGTATCGGATACCGTTTTTGTGACCTACAATATCTACAATACTAAAATCTTAACGGTTCCAGACCATTTAGCATGGCATATGATATATCGTTGGAATCAGCTCAACTAGTAGGTTAAAAAAATCACATCTTAAGCTGGATCAGATAATATTCTTCCATTGTCAAATATAATAATTCTATTTAATTCAACTTTAATGAATTTCTTTACCTACTCATTGAGCTGGTTCCAACGATATATCACATGCAATGATTTAATGGTCGAAACCGTTATAAATTGGGGATGAATTTAACATTATAGGTATTGTAGGTCACAAAAACGGTATCCGATACCCACCTCTAAAATATATAATAAAATAATTTGGAATTAAATATCTGATAAAGGATAACAAATTGAAGCTAGCAACAAATCCTATAATTTATATTTAAATTATCTGATCCAGCTTAAGATGTGATTTTTTTAACCTACTAGTTGAGCTGATTCCAACGATATATCATATGCCATGCTAAATGGTCTGGAACCGTTAAGATTTTAGTATTGTAGATATTGTAGGTCAAATGAACGTAAGTCAAATGATAGACAACCCTTTTATAAACATATACACAAGCACAAAATAAATACCATTTTATAAGAGTTTAGAGGTTTTTTAAGTTTGTCCCAAACATTATAATTATTAATTATATTTTATGTTGAACTATAATTTTGAATTAATATTACACGCATAACCAGGTTTTGTGTAACACTTCTTTGCAAGATATTATGGACGTAATTAACACAGGAGTTGATTATAATGAAGAGCATTACTGTAAAGATTATGCATTTGCTGATAAGGATCGTTTTTGTTATGATAATACAGATAATAATACAGATAGTATTACCACAGAGAAAACAACTACATTTGGCACTAAACTTCCTGACAAAATACCAAAGGCTATGTCGGAAGATTGAATCAATATGAACCAAATTTATTTATATTATAGACATAAACTAGCCTTTTCATATAATATTGAAATATCTAAAAGTTATTTTTCTAACTATAACCATTAATGACCTAGAGTGATTTTTATTCTCATATTTTAAAACTAAATTCCTGAATAACGACAAGAAGACATAAACTAGCCTTTTCATATAATATTGAAATATCTAAAAGTTATTTTTCTAACTATAACCATTAATGACCTAGAGTGATTTTTATTCTCATATTTTAAAACTAAATTCCTGAATAACGACAAGAGATTTTCAAATTGTTTCTTCACAAAATTATAAAGATTTATAATCTCCGTTAAGTGTACTATTAAATGTTTTACTAAACTATTGATTTGTGTCGGTAAACGTTGTCTAAAAAATTTAAACTTGAATTCAACAGTGTTGCCATAAGATACTCAAGGGTATG